TGCATATTCCTAGGCCCCACAACCACCCCAAACAATGACAAAGGAGTACAAAGGACAAGCCCAGGAAGCAGCATTTTTGACACTTCCTTTCTCCTCCTTTCCAGGCGATTCTGTGCTCTCAAAGTTTAAGAAACACAGACTTAGCTGGTGATCCTTAGATTGGCTGCATATTGCATTTTCGATTCACCTGGGAGTTTTTTTGATCTATGTATATGTGTGTGTTAACAGTGCGAGCGAGCCCTACCTCCAGAATCCGATTCATACAGTCTGAGGAAGAGCCTGGACACCAACACTTTTTAAAGCTCCCTACGTGATTCCTGTGTATTGCCAAGATCGAAAGCCACAGGGCCAGGACGGTTCTCTCCAAAATGAATATAAAAATGAAAAGCCATCTGCCCCAACTCCTAGTTACCCTTAAACTCACAGCATCACAGGACTGAGCTCACCTGTTAGCCAAAAACATCTGGTGCCCCGTCCACACCACTGGTGGGAGCCCCCACTGTGTGCAAACAGCTCTGCCTGTGCTCTTTGGGGAACTTACAAAACAGGTCAAAGAAAGGTCATTTCCCTCAAAAGCCTGGGGACGTGGGAAAAATGCACACATAAACACACGCAAGTATTGTACAATTGGAGTTTTACAGACCAGGAAATGGACACTCTGGAAGGGGAAATGACTGCCCAACGGGTTCATGGCAGAGCCAGGACTTTTATGCCTTTCTTCCACTTGGCTCATTTTCACTTGGGTGCTCCTGGCACTCTCTGCACTTCTTGCGCTAGTCGGTTGGTTGGGCCTGGCCTGGAGCCAACGTTTCACCAGCGGCATCAGCCACCTATGAGGCTTAAGGCTCACCCTGGGCCAGGCATTGGACTAAGTATTTGTTGAATGAAAATGCAGCCAGACCAGCACCTGCCCACTCGCTGGCCTGGAAACCAGCAGATTAAATAACCTCGAAAATAAATCCCTTTAGCTGGATTAGCTCATTTTTTGAGACTTAGAAGACTTTAGGTCTTCCTTATTCTGGAGTCCTTGCCTCATACCACAGTAACCATATAATTCACCCAAATTCTACCTTCTATATAATTTATGTGTAACTATGAGTTGATTTGAATTGTAGTTGACTAGTTGACCTAAAGTCATGTAGATATTTCATTCTATATTCGTAAACAGCAATGTTTCAGGTAGTAAATGTTGCAGCCAATCCATTTATTTTCAAGTCCTCAAATATTTCCCATAGTCTATTAGAATGTTCATTAGTCTTGGACTGTCCACTAATGTCTAACAGATCATAGGTGACCTCAAAATAAAGGGATTTGCATTTCATTGATGGCCTGAGGACGAGAGAGAGAGGTTTGAAGGATATGGTCAGTGTTGCTCTCAAGGACCACAGGATAGTTTAATTTTTTTTTTTTTTTTTGGTAAAAACTTTATTGAGATATAATGCACATGCCATATAATTCGCTCATTTAAAGTATATACTTCAGTGGCTTTTTGGTATATTCATAGTTGTGCAACTGTTACCATGATCAATTTTAGAACATTTTCATCCCCTCAAAAAGAAACTGGTACTTTATCTGTCACTCTCACTCATTTAAAGTATATACTTCAGTGGTTTTTGGTATATTCATAGTTGTGCAACTGTTACCACGATCAATTTTAGAACATTTTCATCACCTCAAAAAGAAACTGGTACTTTATCTGTCACTCTCCATTTCCCTCCCCCAAAAACTCTTTCCAACTTTAGACAACTAATCTATTTTTTGTCTCTATAGATTTGCCTATTCTGGACATTTCATACCAATGGAATCTGAAAAAATGTGGCCTTGTATCTGGTTCTATCACTCAGCATAACATTTTCAAGATTCATCCATGTAGTGGGATGTATCAGTACTTCATTCCTTTTGATTGACATTGTATGGAACATACCACATTTTATTTTTCCATTCATCATTTGATGGACATTTGGGTTGTTTCTACTTTTTGGCTATTACAAATTGTGCTACCATGAACATCTGTGTACAGGTTTGTGTGGGAGTATGATGTTTTTATTTCTCTTGGGTATATACCTAGGAGTGGAATTTCTAGGTCATCTGGTAACTCTATATTTAACAGTTTGAGGAACTGCCAGACTGTTTTGAAAGCAGCTACACCATTTTACATTCCCACCAGCAATGTATGAGGTTTCTAATTTCTCCACGACCTTGCCAAAGCTCATAATTACCTGTCCTTTTGATTATAGCCATCTTAGTGAGTTTGAAAGTGTGTCTCATTGTGGTTTTAATTTGCATGTCCTTGATAGCTAATGATGTTGAGTATCTTCTCATGTACTTATTGGACATTTTTATATCTTCTTTGAAGAGCTGTCTATTCAGATTCTTTGTCCATTTTTAAATTGAGTTATTTGCCTTTTTAAAAATTGAATCGTAAGAGTTTCTTATATGCTCTAGCTACAATTTTCTTATCAGACATATGATTTGCAAATATTTCCTCCCATGCTGTTGGTTATTGTATTTGTTTGCTGAGGCTGCCATAACAAAATACCACAGACTGAGTGGCTTAAACAAATTTATTTCTCACAATTCTGGAAGCTAGAAATTCGAGATCGAGACGTCTGCAGATTTGGTTTCTCCTGAGACCTCTCTCTTTTAACTTGTAGTTGGCTGTCTTCTCCCGATGTCTTCACGAGATCTTTCCTCCCGGTGTGCATCCCTGGTATGCACCTTCTTCTTATAAGGACACTAGTCACATTGGATTAGGGCTTTGCTAAGGGCTTCTTTAAAGACCTTAATCACCTCTTTAAATACCTTTAAATACAGTTACATTCTGAGGTATTGTAGGTTAGGACTTCAACATGTTTGAGTTTTGGGGGCGCACAATTCAGTCCATAACAGTTATCTTTTCACTTTTTGGATAGTGTCCTTTGAAGCACATAAGTTTGTTTTTTTAAAAATTTTAATGAAGTCTAACTTATTTATTTTTTCTTTTATTGCTTGTGCTTTAGGAACCATTTCTAAGAAATAATTACTTAATCCAAGGTCACAATTTATGTCTATGTTTTCTCCTGAGAGTTTTACAATTTTAGTTCTTACAATTCAGTCTGATCTATTTTGAGATAATTTTTGTATATGGTGTGAGGTAGGGGTCCAACTTCATACTTTTGCATGCGAAAATCCAATTGTCCCAGCACCATTTGTTGAAAAGACGATTCTTTCTCTGTTAAATTATCTTGTCACACTTGTTGAAAATCAGTTGGTTGTAAATGTAAGAGTTCATACCTGAATTTTCAGTTTTATTCCATGGTCTATATATTTATCCTTATACTTGCACCACACTGTATTCATTACTGTAGCTTTGTAGTAAGTTTTGAAACCAGGAAGTGAGAGTCCTCTACCTTATTCTGAGCAAACTTGAACATCTGGTGTCAAACACTGTGAGTGATGTGAATGAACAGAATAGCATGGGGATTTGGGTACATACTCAAGGCTTCATATCAGGAATGCAGACTCCCGAGTTCCACTCCTGCCTTGGAGAGATGGATTCCCACCCTCTCAGCCCATGGCTCTTCATGATAAATCAATGGAAACATTCTGTGGAGAACAATGATTCCCTTGGGTTATTTCAAACATCATTTAAGTCCTCCCTACCTGCTCTGCTCTCTAATCGCTCTTACTGAAACAGTATCATTTACAACTGGATTATTATGAACTGAGGGGGAGCCAAGACAATAATGGGGAGGGTCTTTCAGAGGGCTTGGGGGGCCTGGATAAGCTCAACCCAGAGGTTTGCACTTCCCCAAGAAAAGTTACTGAGTTTTCTTAGCAAACAGAAAATCACTAAAGTCAGGTTATACTGTCCAGCTCTGAAGAACATTGCTAGTGAGTAATGACCCAGAGGGATTCTTCCATGGAGACTGCTGAGAATTGAATTAACTGGGTACCACCTCCAAGCCCCTCAATTTTAAACCTTGTCTGCACCTCACTGGCTGACCCTAAGGCTCTATTTGGAGGCGAGAAAGCTGAGGAAATAAGGCCCTTTGTGGAGAAGAGGACTCTATTGTTCTAAAGCTAGTGACTGTGGATTCCACAGGATGTTTGGGGATGGATTTTTCTCTCTGTTAATTTTCTCTCCTCTTCTTGAGCGGGCGGGGGTGGGGAGTAGGGCCCTCCCAACAGCAACCTAAAGATAATTAAATCCCTGCCGCGTAAAGAAAAGATAGTGCTCAGATCGCAGGGGCCTTGAGCCCAAGAAAGAGGTTTGAATTCGATGGTCGAAGCCACCGGCTGTTTTGCTTCTCTTTTTCAGCTTTAAAGCTCAGGGAGGCAGCCCCTTTCTAGATCCTGCACATCTCAAACCGTGGCAGACGTCAGCGGAGGCACTACCACTTCCTTCCTACTTCGCTTCACCTCCTTTCTTTCCAGAAAGAGGAAATGATGCGAGCCCACGTCGCAGGCCACGACCCCCAAGCCCCCACGTCTCGCTCTCGTTCCCCGCCCCCCAGCTGGGAGACCTGCCTCCATGGACAGACCTGTCCGCAAGGCAAGGCCTGGTTGGTTGGTCCCCTTGACGTCCTAGGAAGCCTTCAGACTGAAGCCGAGCAGGCCTCCAAAGTAGGAGACTTGAATTCCTGGCACTGTACGAATTCTCTTGACCTCGGGCACGTCGCTGTTCCTCCCTGGACCTCACGATGCCCTGCCTTCCATCAAATGGGAACACGAACAGTCCTAGGTTTCCTCCTTTCCGTGGTGGTGGTGGAGGGGACAGCGAGAAGACCATAAGGAAAACTATTCCGAAGCCTGGCCGTGTCTCAACTCCCTTCGATTTCGAGCTGCTCAAAGGAGGTGCCCCCCCCCCCGACTCCTACAGCACCGGGACCCTTCCCGCGCTCGCTCCCCTGCTGGATCTGGCGGAGCGCGCCCACCCCCTTCCTGCGAGCTCAGGCCCCGCCTTGGGGGAGGAGCCGAAGGGCGGCGCGGAGGCTCGCGGCGCAGCAGAGCCGGTTTCTGTCGCCTCACCGGCAGCCGCGGCTCGGGGAAGGACGGACGGAGCCGGGGCCGGGAGCCGCCGGGGCAGGGCTCGGGAGAGCTGGTGAGTTCTTCGGCTGCGCCGCCTCCCTGCTGCACTCTGCCGCTTGACACGGCGGGGGATGAGGATGGCGGCGGAGGAGTGGTCCCGGCCTCCGACAGTCTGGCTGGGGGTGTGTGGGGTGCTTTGGCCAAGGGCGGGCGGCTTAAGATAATTGGGGGTTGGGGTGGGTGGCACTGGAAAGGCAGGTCCCGCGAAGGATGCGGGCTGGGGTGGGGGCGTTCTCTCGGGTCCTGCGCGCCAACGACGAGGCTGGCGCATTGGCAGGTTGTTGGCTGGGGTCGGCATGGCCAGATCTTGGAGTGGTCAGGGGGGATTTCGGCTGCTTCTGGACTCACAAGTCGCCGTCTGCCGGGGAGCATAATGCCGGGAATCGGGAGCAACAGCCAGCACCAAACAGTCCTGGCGTCCAGCCTCCCCGCCCGTCATGCGGGCGCCGCCCCCTCGCGTGGCCGCTCACGCAGCGGCTGGGCGCGGGGAGCGCTCCTGCCCAGGCGGGAAGGGTCCCCAGGGTAAGCGACCCCAGGTGCCACCCCGCCGCGAGATCCCAATGACAGCGCCTGCAGACCCTGGGGAGACCCCGCGCGTGGTTGTTCCTGCGGAGAGGGGCGCCCTGCCTTTCCAAAGGGCCGCCGTGCGCCGGCTGCCGAGTGCCCCGCGCCGCGAACGCTCCTACACCCCGGAGTCCCGCGCTTCGATTCCGGCGGGCGGAGCGCCCCCGAGCGCCTACAATGGGCAGAAACCCGTGCAGCCCGCTCCCAAGAGGGCGCTCAGGGGGGTCTCCCCAAGGTCAGCGGGAGCGCCCAGGCTGAGCTGCCCAGCTGCCCGGAGTGGAGAGCCGGGAGGGGGAGGCGCTCCCCGCCGCCTCTTTCTCTGATGCAGACTCCCTCCTTCCCTCTTCCTCCTCCCCCAATCCGGGCCCGGCTTCGCTGGAGATGCTGATGATGCAGCTCCCAGCCCCGGGCGGACAGCTGAGCCTTGGCGAGCTCTGAACCCGTCCCTCCCTGGGACCCGGTGCTCCTGGGCACCTCGGGCGCCGAGGGAGAGAGACGCGGCTGCACAAGCGCTTCTCAGAACCGAAAGCCGAGCTGCTTGCGCGCCCATGTGATTGGATTCTACATAATGGGCCCCTGTTCTCGCTGTCAGAAGCGCCCACCAGCTCCCCGCGGCCCCGGGCACCAGGTGCCGCCTCTGAATCGCCCTCTGTGGAGGACCCAGGGCCCTGAGGTACCAGGCGCCCTTTCCCGTAGGGCTCTCTGGGGAAGGGGCCTGTCGTTCGCCGCATCAGCCCGCGGGGATACTTCCCTTGTGCCCTGCCATTTCCTGCGGCTGGTGCAGCCCCGGAGAAAATCCCTCGGTCCGGATGGGAGGCCTCCTCCTAGGCTTGTGATAGAGCTTCTTCCTAGCTATCTGCCCGAGGGCAAGGCCCTTGGCCTCTCGGAGCCTCAGTTACCTCTATGAAATGGGGGATGGGCGAGAGGACTGATGGGAAGTGCTTGGTGCAGTGGAGCATGGCAGGATGAGTGTTCCTAGGTAAATGCCGGCGCCTTTCTTACTGGTTTTGAATGGGGCGTGTCTCTTAAGCAGGAGCAGAAGTGGAGTCCTGGTGGGTGGTTCTACCCAGGCCGGGGGAGTTTCCACATCTCCCTCCCTCATCTCTGTCATGAAGAGCCTGTTTGCAGGCAGCTGGTGGGCGCTGGTGAATCCTTGCAGCTGGCAGCCTGCTCACAGGGCCTTCCCACGCATATCCCCAGCCCCTTCTCTCCCACCTACCACTAGGATGTTGGGGTCAAGATGTCAACCGGGAAACTCTGGATGTTCAACTTTGTACCTTACTGTCAATAGGAGTCTACTCAGCAGTGTCCCCCACCCTGGAAGCTTCCTGACCTCTCTTCTCAGCCTCTGGAATGTCTTCCTACAGGAAGACCGCTTGATCTTTCCTACCCCTTTTTTGGTTTCCCCCACTGTGACATTCATGTGACTGCTCTGTGGCTTGTGCTTTGGGGCTCCTTACATCCTGGTACTCTCTGGATCTTCCCTGGCATGGAAGGACATGACAGGCAAGGCCAATGCGTGCTCAGACTGCATTCTCTCTGCTAATTGATGCTGAAGTGGAGGTTAAATTCTAATCTAGTTGTCTTTTTGGGAGCCTGAGCCACAGGACTAAGAGGTTGCTGACTCAGGAAGGTGGATTTTCCCCTGAGGCCAGAACCTTCCCGCGACTCTTTGGTTCCTTTTAAAAGCTACTCCATCCCCAGAGTGTGCTTTTCTGACTACCAGAAACTGCAGCCAGCCTGGTTCTGCAGATCAAGAAGGCGCGTACCTGGAGGAATGTGCTGTGCTCCAACCCTCAGGATCCCCACCCAACCTTGTCCCCCTCTCCCAACCTAACTGCTCCAACCCTCCAGTCCACCTGCACCCAGGATTTGGAGCATTTGGTGTATAGTAAGTCCCAACTGGCATTCTTCCAGCAGAGACCAGGATGACCTTCTTTATCTCAAGCACGTCTTAGAAATTTGACTTCGAGAAGTGCTTGGACAAGCCTGCCTCCGACAGAAAGCTACAAAGTATAAAGAGTAAGAGACCAGACAGGTCTAGTACAAATTATAGCTCTATGCTTAAAAGCTCTGTGACCCTGGGTAAATTATCTACTCTCTCCGAGTCCTGGTTTTCTCATCCGTAAAATGGGAGTAACAGTAAAGCCAACGTCATGGGGCTGTGAGGATTCTGTGAGAACATAATGCACAGAAAGTGCTTAGTACAGCACCTGGTGTGGGCAGGAAAAAAACCATCACCACCATTTCCTCCCTCACAGTGGGCTCTCAAAGTCCTCACCTCCTCCTGTCTGGGGAAGTCAGACCTCTTCTTCCTCTAACTATCAGGACAGGGAAAGCTTCTCAGCCTGGGGGGACTGCCTCCTGAGAATTCAAATCCAGCATGGGCCTGTCCTCAGGAAGTCTGTGACCGAGCCTTTCTCATCTGGTGGCCATTTCCCAGGATTCATTAATTCATGTGACAGATGTTTACTGCATTCTAGACCTTGTGCTAAGCAAGGGATTTCGAGGTGAATAAGGCAGCTCTCAGTGCCATTCTCACTCTATGGGAGAGGCAGGGCCGGAAACAGATAGTGAGGCTACTGTCTCCAACAGACTGTGAGAGATAACAGTTCCACCGGCAGGAAGAGAAGTGAGGAGTGGAGCGACAGATGAACAGGTGAGCTCAGGCCGGTCAACAGGTTTCATTCCTGACTGTGCCGCCTTGTAGCTGGATGATGATGGACAAGATGCCTTACCTCTCAAGCCCATAAGCTGCCTACCTAGGGTGATGATGCGAAGAGAAAAGTGAGACCATGTGGGTAAGAAACTCAGCTCAGGGCCTTCTCGATAATAATTTGTGCTCGCAAATGTTAGTTGCTGTTATTATTAGTCTGTGATGACCAATAACAGGTGGGCAAAGTTTGCGGTGGGAACCTATTTGAGCCTTTCAGAGACAAATTTCTAGGTGGTGGATAATACAGGGGAAGGTAGCCCGAGCAGAGAGAACAGCTTGTGCAAAGGCACAGAGGCTTAAAAGTGCTTGGTGTCTTTGAGAGCAGTGGGCAGGAGTTGGAGAACTGTCACCACAGGATATGACAGAGGCAGAGGCAGCAAGCAAAGCCAGGGAGGTAGGCAGAGGCCATCCTGCCAAGGGGTCCTGAATGATTAAATACTCATTGACCTGAAGCAGGCACCTTGCAGCCTGCAGAGGGTTGTCTGATTGTAGCACTGGAGAGAGTCTGGGATTGACTTCTGCCTGGGAAGAAGGGCTGGACTGTGCTCATTTGCCAATACATTAACTGTCCCTTCCACTTCCTTCTACCCAGGAAGCACAAAGGTCTCCTCCTTATTCCTGAGATGCTTCCTGAGAGGAGATACTTCTGTACCTGTTTCTTTCTTCCTGGGACTCAGTTTCTCATTTGAAGGAAGGGGATGGGGATAGAGGAAGTGTCGTGATCTGGCTTCTTTATGGATCATGATATTGTACCAAGCGTTTTTCTGGGTGGTGGTTACTGTAAAGGTCTTCGCTTGCATTGCTATTATCCTAGGGATAAAAGCGGATGCATTTATCCCCATTGCACAGCTGGGGAAACTGAGGCATGGGGGTGGAATCATTTGCTAAAGAGCATGCAGCTTATATGTGGTAGGAACTCATGTCTGGGGTCTCCAAAGCTGCTATGTGCTGTCCTGTACCACCTCACTTATGCTCCTTGTGAATACCTAAAGCTGACTGTAGAATGTCTGGCTTTTTCACTGTATACCCTTAGATGCTAGGTAGTAAGCATCTTAGAGATGTGCCTGACTTGGGAAGGCCCTGTGTGCAGGCACGTGCAGAGGGGAGATGTTCTTGGAGGTCTCAGAGTTCAGGCAGCAATCTGCGGCCCGCCAGTGTCCCACAAACATGCCTTGACGCAGGCAGCTTGCAGCTTGATTGATATAGCAGGTGGTGGTTGAGCTCCATGGTGACCCCAGGAAGTAATGAGCCTTTTAGGATGGCTGGTCAGAGCATCACATGCCCACATACCCTACCTGTTTACAGAAGACAAAGGCTCAAATTTCTTCTTCTATGGGAGGCAGAGTTTAGTGCCTGGGTTCAAATCCTGGCTCTGCCTTCTACTGGCTTTTTGGCCTTGGATGATTTCTTCATTTCATTGAGCCTCAATTTCTTCATCTGGAAATATAGATCATATAATATAAGTATAAATATAAATACAAATATAAATGGTCATTGAGAGTTGTCATAAGGATTTGTAATTACACATCAGATGCCTGGCTTCTAAGCTTTAGATAATACTGATGTAATATCCACATTTTCCTCCATGGCACTTATCATTATTGTGATCATATGGTTATTTGTGGTCATTACTCCTTTAGTCTGTCTTACCTACTAGGCCAGTGATTCGCAACCGGGGGCAGTTTGACTCCCCAAGGAGCATTCAACAGTGTCTGCATACATTTTTGGTTGTC